AGAAATATGATATGGAAACACGTAAGCTCTAACATAATGGTTTTGCTGCTAAGCTTACGAGCAAGAAGTTAGATTTATGCTTTAATGTTAGTATTTTTAAAATACTATATCATCTCAGATATGAATTTTAGCTTCGGGTGCTGCAGTGTAAACTTGCCCAAATCCAAGAGAGCAGGACAGACGTTAGACTACTCTCAGACAAGGATTAGCTTCCATATAGTTGAGAAATATGCAGTGAATGTTAATCATGAGTAGTCATAGTTTGCTGTTTATGCTGTTTACATTAGAGCAACCAAACACAAACACGTGTCATCCATTCCTTGCAGTTAAAGTTGCTAAGCTATGGACAATCGCAGTTCTAGGAGTAGGGTGTTAGCAAATGCCCAGAAAAAAATACAGGTGGCTGTGGGCCTGATAAACACTCTTTTAGCTGAGATTTTGACCCGGATGATTTGATCAAAAATAGAAACCACATCAGTTACTACATACCTCCAGTACTTTTTTCCAGTGATGTGGATGCACAAGGCTCTGCAGGATGTTTGTTCACTTCACTGAATCTTCTCCTCCTGTTCAAACCAATGTTTTACCAGCCTATCTCACCAAAATCAATGATCAAAGTGATCTTGTCTAGATTCTTGCTATATAAATATATGTAATTCTGCGCTTAGCATATGGACATCCACTGCATGGCTACTGTAACCCAATTAGCCTACCCCTTTGTCCTGGGCTACAAGCCAACCACTTTTCTCCTTCCAGCAAATGCCCTCAAGGTTAAAAAAAAAACCCCAGTTCACAGACTTTATGCTTCGTCTAAATAAGAACCAACAGGCATGGCACTGACCCAAAGACTCAGCCGGCCTGCAGATTTCTACACTGCCCTGCTGTGGCCTGCCCTTCGTTCTGTCTTACACCTTGATGTGAACAGCCCTCTGGCCTGCAGTGAGATTAAGTAGCCTGCTGTATTAAATTACTCTCATAATATAATAAACAGTGTCGTTGTTGTCCTCATTATCATCATCATTACAGGTTAATTACAGTAAGTCATCAGGGACGTGAAATTTCCATGCTTGAAAATGTAAATTAAGGATTTGTTTAGTGAGTCTGACTAAATTAATTAAATCAATTGGGTAACAAAAGCTCAAAAACTCTTCAGAGAGTTCAATGGAAAGACTTTGTTTGTTTGTTTTTTGGTGTTTATGTTTTCATTACACGCGGTTTTCAAGTTTCAAGTTCAGCTTTATTGCCATTATACAATACAGGACAGGGTTAAGTAATACAGTTGTAGCCCTGTTGAAAATGTATAAACAAGTATTTAAATGAGAAAATAATACAATAAATAAATAATATAAATAAATAAAAATAAATACAATAGAATAAGCAATAAAACAGAACAACGTATATATAAGTAGAATTAAGGGAAGGGATAAAAAGGAAAACTAAACTATATTTACAAATGAAGATATACAGTTACGTTTATACATAACTAAACACATATACAGAAAATGTACAGTATGTGCAATATCAGTGTAATATGAGAAATATGAGTTGTAGTGCCAATAGAAAAAATCCTATAGAAAAAAAAGATGAGAGTGAAAAATGAGAGTAGTGGTATGGTATGTGCAAAAACAACATGCTATTGCATGTAAAAAGATGTTTATGAGAGCCTTTTATTTGCAGTAGAGTGCAGAGGATGATGTGGTTGAGGAGTCTCGCAGCTGCTCTATGGTCTGATGGTCAAGCAGTGGATACTTCTGTATCGCTTGCCGGACAGGGTGAACAGGCTGTGGCTGAGGTGGGTGCTCTCATTTCCACCAGATGGTACAGCTCAACCCGTAGTCCACAAATCCACACATCTTCAACAAGGGAAAGCAGCTAGTGGTCCAGATCAGTGATTCCCAACCTTTTCCTTAACAGACATCTTTTTTATAAGTTAGTAAACTGATGACCCCTGACTAAGAGATATATTTTATGGATATGTCATACTATATTCAAAACTGTACAATTAACCCAAATAGTGAACTCAGTAACTGCAAGAAGTTTGTGTCAAACTGATTTGATTTGGAAAAACTGTAATTTCACCTCACAGAACAGGGAGTTGCTGCCTCGATCGGTTAGTTAGTTTGTGTTAATGTGTGAACTTGGTGGAGTTCAGATCCGAACTACTACTACTAATAGACTCCAGACACTTTACAATCCATTGAACCAGGCATACCAAGTAACAGCACATCAACCCCTGCTTGCAGGCTTGGTACTGTCTCATTATCTGACTGTCTATTATTTAATGCAATTTTTTTCTCTACAACTTTTTATTTTATTTTTTTTTTACGATGCCTCTCCCATGATAGGCATCTGATCTGCTCTAATTAGCAGCTGATGTTTGGTAAATCTGCAAGGTTCTTTATTGTTAGAGAAAGGATTTGGTTCATCCTGTCTCGAAACACTCTTTCAATCGACACAAATATCATTTATCTATCTGTGTGTGGTTTCTCACTCGCACACTCACACTCTCTCTCTCAGTCAGTTTTATTTCCTCTCTGCTAGACTGGAAATGAAATATTAAACAAATTAGAATTTTCACATTAAAATCTAATTCTCTTTAAATTTGTATTGGATCGTATCACAACCTAATTTTAATAGTGCTTTAGACAGATAATGCCTAGGAGGTCTCATGTTCATTTCTGAGGTTGTATCTGGTTGTACATTAAGTGAGTATTTCTAGCTTCATATATCCATCTATCTATCTATACTATCCAATTCTCACTGTGTCTTTTCTTTATACGTAACCCAAACATTGTGTCTTTTTTAACATGGCACAGAGGGCTACCCACCAAACATGCAGACTATAAAAGAGATTTCCATGCAGGCCAGTATGTGAATGTGTGTGTGTACGTGCGTTTGTGTGGTGAAACCAGCCAGACAAGCTTGACTCAACATATCACTCTCTGCAAAGTGACTCAGATGCTGACAGAACAAAGAGGTCAGACAGCTGCCATGATGACAAAGAACAACCCACTCCAGAAAGAAAACAACTTATTAGCAGGCTGTAATGATCCTCGGGTCAACTTTGTCAGTTTTGTGACAATGCACCATATAAAGGTATGCATTCGACTCCTTTACCCTCCCTGTGTGAAGGTTACTCATGACTTCATATGTATTTTCCTCCAGGTGTGCCCACATCCTCCTACAATACATTCCAAAGTCTATTGGTGACTGAAGGTGGTTCCCTGTTGTCTGTGTATGCCGTAATTGGCCAATTGTCTACCTTAAAAGCAAAGACAAAAATAACCCTCACCGTGCCATAAATCTATGATTCTGTGTGCTCACTCTGTGTGCTGCATGATGAGAGGGTTGTGTGCGTGTTTGTAAGACTGCCCAACAATCCAAACTCCAGAGATACGCAGTTTACAATTATATGAAACAGAGGGAAAGAAGCAACGGAGACTGTTTATTAATTTTCTGCTGACTGACTAATTGATTAATCTTTAAATTCTACTTATATCTTTAAAGGTAAGTTGTACAGCAGATACTCAACTTGGCCACTTGTGACATCTGACAGGAGGCCAGGGGCCAGATAATAAACAAACTTTAATGATATTTGTCAGATAAAATGAATAAACTTTAGGATCGTTGATGTGTCAGAATAAGACAACTTAAAAGTTGTAATCCTGACTTTTATTATGGCGAGAACAATGCACTGAAGTCAGTTAAGATATGAGCAACTTGCATTGCGCAACTGTCGTTTGGCAAGTTAAACCCAGTGCGAGGGGGAAGAGTAAAAGCAGACTTATCTTTCTGTTTTTCATTGAATTGCCCTAACAGGTAAATCCAGCCATAGCAGCCCTGCACAGCTCAGGTGTATGTGAACTTCCCAATTAACAGCCAGAAGACATTATTGAACATTTACTGATTTGTATAAACAAACAAGTCAGATGGTCACTCTGCACTTAGTTGAGTATCACTGCTGTATAGTTTAAGAATTTGGGTTGGTTAGCAGTCATTGCATTATGATACAAAGATCAATTATCAAACATGGGAGACACAAGCTTGAGCTGTGTAATCAGTCAGACAGAGACAGAAACAGAGACTACAATGTTTACAACGTATTACATTTGTGTGGTAATGGGGGGCAGCGGTGAGCAGTCGGGTCATTTCTCCATTAGAGTGAATGGTAATGTTTTTTTATTGGAGCCAGTGGAGCTCCACCTGCTGGCCTTTACATATAATGCAGGTTTAAGACACTTCTGAGTTGGCGTCACTTTTCAGACCCGGAAGCTCTGTCCATCATATATACTGTTAATGGTCTGTACAGGGACTTGGTGGGGACTTGGCTTGGGAACTGGAGGGTTGCTGGTTCAAGTCCAGGACGGACCACAATATGGAGTGTGGACTGGTAGCTGGAGAGGCGCCACCTCCTGGCCACTGCCGAGGTGCCCTTGAGTTAACGCACCTACCCCCCCCCAACTGCTCCTGGAATGCTGCCACATTTGCATGCCTATAAGCCTTGTGTGCATGATTGTATTTCGAGCTTATGCTGTAAAAATACTGAGCGGAAAATAATTTCCCCATTGGGGATTAATAAAGTAAATCCTCTTAGAAATCTTATTCTTCTTGTATGGCGATGCAGTTCCAGTGCAGATTGATTTTTAAAGTTTGCCTCATAATGATAATATGGCAGACAGAAATTTTGAAATTTAATTAAAGCAAGTTTGAAGAGTCAATATTTTTATATCATTATGGAAAATGAATGGAAAACCACCGGATTCCTGTAACAGTAGAAAGGTACATTACATTTTCTGATTGGATGTTAAATAATATTTTGTAGTAAATGAGCTACATTACCCCAAAACCCGTGTCCACTACCTTTATTATGAAGTTATCATCAATCATATTGCAATGTGGCCTTTGTTCCTCGTGGGTGTAGCCAGTGCCACGGAGAGGGGGAGAGGGGGGGGGCGTGTGCACGAAAGGGGGTGGGTACGTGTCGACGTCACCGGTTGGTCCTTACTGTCAACGCCAAAATAAAACGAGTAAAAAAAACTTTTCTGTCGGATTCATAAGTAGAAACACATGGCAGCGAGGAAACAAGGCTGCGAGTAAAAGCCCCTTTATCTCCACACTGTAATGGTTGCTGGGACTCGGCATTGTTCGCGCAGCAGAGGAGGCTCTTTTTTTTTTCTCCTCTCTTTCTTTCCTGGGGGTCGCACGGCGAGAGCCAGCGGGCTGTATCAGTTTAGCCGACCTGCTAGCTAACGTCAAGTTGTGAGAAAAGTGGAGAAGACGGCGGCTAAACGGGAGCTTATCCGCCTACACAGACCTATGCGACGGATAGCAGGTAACAGAGCTCCCCCCCTTACTGCTTCCAGCCATATCAGATACACTGTACCGTTCGTGGCTTTTATCTTACACAATTTAAGATGTTTTGTTGTTGTGTTGTTGTTTTTCTTAACCGTACACAATCTTGGTACTGCAACAGCTCGGTGGCAGCGGTAAACGTAGCAGCCCTTTCAGCTTTTAGCCGACAACTTTGCTCCATAAAACCCGTGGTGTTGGCAACCTGCTCGGCTTCTTGTTACAGCTCGTTTAACGCCTGCATGCTTTGTATTGTAAAACAGTGGTTACCCAGTGATAATGCGGCCGATAGTCACGGCATCTGACACGGTGCTCGACACACAATAATAGGCACTAACTGCCTGTTTTGCTCTGCATATGCACCCACCACACAGCACAATGGTAGACTTATATGAAGGGGTTATGGTAGCCCGTTACTGTTACACGCAGCCTTTACTTTGGACGGCCCACGCCGGTTGTTATTGTGCACAATACTCCAAAGAAATCACAGGAGGGAGCGTCTGTGTATAGCAGAGCCTTTTGTGTGCTAACGTGCAAACATCTCAGTCAGCTCCAAACGGCAATAAATCACCGTTTTATGTATCAGTATTAATACCATGACCCCGAACCAGGCTGGCCAACGATTGTGCCTGAAGCTACAGAGCGAGTCAAACCCATTGGTCTTGTGCAGCAATGCGGTAGACAGAGGCCGGTTTAGATTTCCAAAAGGAACAGGGGAAATTGAACCGCTATTATTTATGTTTGGTCGATATGTCACGGGGTCACGGCTTGCTGACAGCAGCAGGATAGTCCAGCGGGACAAGGTCAGACGTGGACCGGCGGAGCACCTCTCCTGTCCGGGCTGTCAACCGCAGTGAGGAGGCCCTGTAGCTGCTCCTTCCCATGGGGCAGTGTGAACCAGCCTGTCAGGTGAAGAATGCCAATGAATTATTCAGGCTCATGCTGCAGATGATCAACGTGGCCCAGGAATGTGCATAGCTGCTCCCAGGGACAATAAGAGGCTCTCAGTGTGGTGTGGCTCCTCCAAGAAGAATTGCCCGCCTCAGATTCCCTGTTGAACATGCCAGGTTCTGCTGAATGGGGCATTTGGAGGCTCGGTGTGGAGTAGGAGTTGCACTTCTTGCAGCTGCTTTGATTGGTCATCCTGTCTCTTGTGATCCATTTTGAAGTTGATTCTGCAGATGTGTCCAAAGCTCGAGTGGGAGATTGCCTCTGGTGGCCTCCGAGCAAAGCTGTAATCTCCATGGCGGTGTTTAAATCGATGGGTTTTGCTTGTGCCACTTTGTCTTGAGCTGCTTTGTTGTTGTTGTTTTTCATCGGCTTGTTATTGTGCTTTGTTTTATGGGACAGTATGTATGCATGACACTGGACATTTAAGTAAAAATAGAACTTTATGTAGGCTACATGCCTTAAGAGTCACGTGCTTCCCCGAGGCTAAATTACTCTGCTCTCACAAAATATGTGGCTACACTATATTAGGGTCCACCTTTGATCGTAGTTCTCTTTACCTTGCACAATCCTTGTCGCAAGCTCTCCAGGAATAAGTGGTCTTAAATGACTTGCATAACTCCTGTGGTTGAATCAATTACAATGCGTTTCTCAGGCCAGAGTCCAGACCAGTGTAGACACAGTATGTCGTCACTAAAGAACAAATAAGAGGTCACGATGATGATGCACTTCAGCCTTCCTAGTGAGTTCTTTTTTCTTTGGGTCTCTTTTTATTCTTAATGTTGCAGGTCTGTAGATACAGTTTTGCTGTAGTTGCAGTTGTAATAGGTGGAAGCTGAGCCACCAAGTCAGATAATGATTTTTGTGTGCAGCAAAATAAAAATGAAAGAAGAAGAAAACACTCAAAAGCTGCTAGCAGAGTCAGGATTTCTAGTCCTCGGTACAAATGTAGTGATACAAATCGCTTCGACTACTGTACTTGCTCTTGAGAATGAGGCCAGTGAGTTGTTGATGCTCCGGCACGACCCTGAGACATCCGGTGGCTGAGAACCGAGTCGCTCTTGAACATAAGCAGCTCAGAAAAAGCGATAAGATTACAGCTGCGCTATAATGTCAATCTACAGTAAATGCAAAAAGGACTTTGTGTTTTTTTTTTTTTTTTTTTTTATTTAACCGTGCCTGAAAGTTAGCATTTTGAACAATCTGATTTCCCTGCTTTTGCAAACACAGTGCTGTTTCAGTCAATGTCCGCTGATTGCCTGTGATATGAAAAGACAGGACTCTAGTTTGTTGACCTGAGTGAGAGTAAACAAATCTCTTAGTTAGTGTGTATAGTGTGCATGTTTTCAGTCAGTAGTTTGCACGTCTCATTAGTTTCAATTTGTATTGGTTCACCCCTTCAGCTCCTCTGTTCCTGGCTTATACTACCAACACTTAAATCTGTGAGGTAAATCAGAGCGGCAGCAATAAGGAAAACTGAAACCTACACATGTGAAAAATAAAGAGCATTACTGAAGTAAGCTACAGCTTGTTACGCAGTCTTCCACAGCCTCATGAGCTGAACCCATTGCTTCATCTTGACAATCCCCTTTTCTTTCCTCGCTCAGCCTTTGTTTTCTCCTCTGGGATTTTTGGTGTGTCTCAAACAACTCACTGTAATCCCCTTGCAAAATATGCATAATAATGCAGACCTTTTATTTCCGAAGCTAAATGCTGCGCTACGCACTGTATTCACAACACCCGATAACTTTTTTTTCTCTTATTTTTCCTTGCCTTTCATCTTCTCTCCCCCCTCTGCCCCGCTTGTCTAAAGCCTTCATGTCACTTGCATTAGACAGACCACGTCTTCAGCTTATATTTTTGTCCCTTCTGTCTCTTTCCCTTTCTCCTTTTCTTTGTGGACTGGATGAGCCACACAGGGTGCCGCTTCACCCTCTCACCACCGCCTCACCACCGCTGCCACCTTACTGTCTCCTCTGGTGCTGCCCAGGATGACTGACAGTCATCGATTGAACCTGTCCATGTGTATCACCCTCTCTGTATCCTGCCCACACCCCTCCCTTCCTGTCTCCTCCCTTGTTGTGTTTAGGTGAGTGATGGAGACGAGAGAGTTGACTGTGGTAGCTGGCAGCTTCGTGGGTTTCCAGCTTCTCTTCTCAGTGGCAAGCCCACTGCTCTCCTTCGCCATCACACCGGGTTATGGACTGCAGCCTTCCACCAAGCTTACCGAGTGGAACTCAAGGTGTGTAACAGGAAGCCGCCACTCCCCCCGCTGCAGGCAGACCTTTTCTCATAGGCACCTAACCTGTCAATGCTCTGGCAGTTTCATCTTGGTACCATGTTGAAGCCTTTTTTGTTGTACCACATGGCTATAGCTCTCTACCAAAGGTTATTGTGTTTTTATATGATTGGTTGTATCACAATAAACATAGTCAGCCAAGCTAGCCAGAAAAATCATAGTTTCAAAATTTTGGGAAACTCTTTTTGTGTCTAGAGGTAAAAAAAATCCACCTATGAGTACTAAAGTTTGTTTAATCCATACAAAAATCAAAGTGTAAAAACATTAGTTTGCCATTATATGGGCGGTTATGTGACAGACTGTTGGCTGGGTAACATTGATAGGGAACCAGTGGAGACACCAGGCAGTACTGGTTCCTGCCAAGAAATATAACACAACAGTAAATTCAAAAAATTAGATTTATCGTGTTAATTAGTGAGTGTTAGAATTGCTGGTAGGTGGATTTTGTTACCTACAGACACAGCATGCATAGCTGACATAGCTAGATCCAGTTGGATTTCAGGGTCAGAAACTGTGAGCATAGTGTTGAATATGAAGATCTCTAATGCTTTGCGCACTCTTGGTCTTTTGGGGGTCCAGGTGTTGGAGTTCTAAAGCAAAATAAGAAACACTTTCCCTTACAATGTCTGAAAATGTTCACAGAAATACTGGATTTGTTTCTGTTATTGGACACAGCAGACTTGAGTGTATGTACACCCACCAGCATTTTGTTGTTTGTTTCATATTTACTGTTTCTTTGACACATAGGCTTTTATAAAAATTCAAAATGTTCAAATGATTTTGCAGACAGCACCCACTGAGATACACCTCCCCTCAATAGTATTGTTGTATAACGGTTTGACATGCCGATAAACCTGACCTCTGTTAAGCAAACACCAGTGTATTTGGTGATGCAGCTCTGTTGAGGTGGACCTTGATATGCTTCATCATTCCACGCAACTACAGCTGTGATGTGAACAGCTGGTGGAGCACAGAGAAGTTTTAAGTTTCAAGGAGAAGCCTCAGGGGTCAAGTTCAGAGGGCAGTAACCCGTAGTTGCATAACATAGTCACAGATAACCCTTCATTCATATAACTCTGGTTTACATTAGCCATTATGTCCATATTTGAAAGTACGTGTTGTACCAATCAAAGAGCAGTCCAAAACAAGTCAAAGGCCAGGCACCGATGGTTCACTTCAGAGTGGCCTGCTGTTGCGTAACAGCTCAGCTCTCAGTGTGTCAGTATGTTGTTTATGTAACCACGACTTAAGTGCACGGAGAGGAGGGAGAAAGCATTTCCAAAGGAAGAGCATGTCTAGTATTGAACGCATCTGCATAAACTATTAATTTCTTTATCTGTTCCCCTTGTCTTTTTCTTTATCTGTTTCCTCTTCCTTTTTAAATTATTTAGTCTTTACGAATATAATTCCTCTCAATACAAACACAAGTAGCAGAGTGGCTGTGATATTTGTAACATATCCTACACAGACGGTGATATTGACACACTGTTGTACCAACTTCCTTTAGCCAAGTTCCTCCGTAACTGTTCCATTTTTAGACTCTTCAGTCTGATTCAGCAGTAATAATGGACTCATCCACTCATACAGTAGTTGATCTGTAGACCCATTCTTGGCAAGGGCTCAGGCCAGCAGCTGCGGCCTGTGGACAGAGTCTACCGTACCCCAGACACTGCATGGTGACAGAGGAGGAACTGTGATTCTGGTAGAGGAGAGATAAGGGGCCACTGGACCTCTGGAGTATCTCTTCAGTGGCCTAGATAACCACTCCAAAGGTCAGGGCTATGCTGTGTCAGGCCTGATAAAGAAGAAGTTAGACTCACGTAGACACAGGGGATAACCTAGATGTAATTACAGACTGTATACAAGCAGAGACACAAAGATTTCCTTACCTAAAATTCCTGTTAGCCTGTCATCATGTTTACTACTTCTTCATCTTTATATATGTGTCCATCTTCAGGTTGGTTTCAACTGTGCACGCGCTGATTGTGGGGTTGTTCTGTCTGTACATCCTGTGGTTCGACGATGCGGTCAACGCCAACCCCGTCTGGTAAGAGGAACAGAAAGAAAAACGAAAGAAATTCTAATATAGTGAAATATGCAAATACATACCACCCTATACACCCCCATGAACACAAAAGCAATGCTGATGGAAAAGGCAAAATACTGACACATTATGTTCCTGTCATTTTGGCAGGCTGAAAAAAAATAAAGGTAGTGTGAATGCTCTGGGCGCTTTTAGGGGAAACCCGTCTTCTCACATCTGCCTTTTCAGACCGGCAGCCATGTCTGGCTCACAAGGGAAGGGAGGAAACAGATGAAGGGATGAAGATGGGAGGTGGGTGGTAGTGAAGGATCGTCAGGGTTGGTACTTAATACCCTTAGAGAGATGACGATGGCGTTCTCTTCATCAGAATGAAAGAGGGAAGAGGAAAGGATGGATCTAATGTGTCGGTGGAGTCTCCAGGGAGTTGTAGATTCAGTGGATTTAGCCTTTGATTATTGTCTTTACTGTCTTCTCTCTGTCTTCCGCTCTGCTACTGCTGACTGTGTTATTTGCATCAATGAATCCGAAAAAAGAGAAATGGAAATTTTCTTCCCCACTTCTTTCTCCTTTCCAATCTCTCAATCAGTCTTTTTTAAACATTTCTCCTCAGCTTTCTGTCTTTCTGTCTCTCACTTCTCCCTCATATTCTTACAACACTCATTCCTTCCTTCTCCCCTTCTCTCTCTCTTCTTTCTCTTTTCCTTTTGCCTCCGTTTCACTTCCTCTCTGGTTCACCAGCAGACTAGAATCCTACCAACAAGGCTCCTTTTCATAGCAAACAACAGCAGCCTAGTCCTCTACCCCACACCCCCTCCCTCTCTCTCCCTCTCCGTCTCTCTCTCTCTTCTTGTAGACCCCCCTCCCTCCTCCACCCCCCGCCACCACACACCACCAGCCTTCCATGAGCCTCCTGCCTCTAGCTGTCCGTTGTGCCCCACGTCTCTGGCTGTCGAATCAATGCAGCACACCTCCCTCGCTTTTATTGTCTCTGTGTCAGCCCCGGCCAGCGTTGCTGATGGAGCGAAAAAGGGGAGAAAAAAGAAAGTGGGGGTGGGGGGTCAAGAGGGAGGCTGAAAGATTGGGGGGGCCTCCCAGCCTCCCTCCTCTTCCTACCAATCTTCCTCTGCGTATGAGTGTTCAGGTGCTTAGTATCTTAGCCCTCCGTGTCAAAGCCTCTTTGTCTTAACATACATGTTTTCTCACAGGATTTAATACAAAAAAATTCCTGTCACATAATTTCCTTCAGCTCCCATGAGGAAAAAGGTGATTTCTTTGTGTAAATAGTTTCTGTGTGGTGTAATACTGGTGCCCCAACTTAAGCCTTGCTATGTCTTTTGTTGATTTTCTCACCAAACTCCCTTCACCCACAATCCCCAGCAGTATCCTAATGCGTTAAAGCTCACCTCGTTGCAACACCGGAGTGGCGCAAGCATAAATTCTCCAGTCAATCTGATTGTATTACAGCATCATTAAGACCTGTCACACAGCAGCATTGTTCTCCAGTGTGGCCAGAGCCGTACTGTTAGAAACACTGTTTTCAGCTGCCGCTCAGGCTCTTTCAGTGTGTCACTCTTTTGGTGTGTCACTCTTGCAGGCAGCGGGGCCGAGGCTGTTATCATAATCCATTCAGTTAACAAGCACTGTGTCTGACTGCCCCACCCCTGCTACATTTCTCTGATTGGCTTATCTGGACTTGAACTTAACATGTGCAGGGACATCTGAGGAGAATGAGAGAACAAATGTCAGGGTGTTGAGTTGAGGTCAATCTGGTTTAGACACCTTACGTTTTCCAGCACACTTTTATCACTTTCCAAGTCAACATTGAAGACATTGGGCCACATGAAAGAACATAGTAAATTCCACCTGTTCTTTAAGGAGTGTGCATTTGTGAACTATGATCATTTGAATAACAGATGCCTGCAAATTGCTATATGTTCTGCTCCATTTGTGCACACGTTTTAAGGACCAGTGCTAGTACCCAGTGTTAGTTCACCCTCCGCTCCCAAACACAAAAGAAGAAACTACGGTGACGGCGAAACTCTCATAAAAAAGGTCTTTATCTAGAACCAGTGTTTGTTTTGTCCGTTCTGGGCTACTGTAGAAACATGGCGGGTCAACATGCTGGACTTCACAGAAGGCAACCCCCAGCGTCTGTAGATAAAAACGGATCATTCTAAGGTAAACGCAACGATTGCTATTGTCAGGTGATGCCTATGCGTTTAATTTACAAAAATGTTAACCAAGAGCTAAATTTCATGCATCCCTTTGTCAGAAATCGGCACACAAAAGCCTACACATTTTGCATTGTCAGTAGTCATATGAAAGCACACACAAAAAAAGAGGAAATATTACTACAGCTGTCAACAACATGCCATCACAGAGCAGTACCAGGACAGAAATTGTCAGAACTAGTTTTCCAGTCATGGAGACATCTGGAAATTGATTAAAATAACCAAATATCCTGAAAATAATTCCACTTCATTTGAACTGTCATTGACTATGTCATCATTAAAGGAAAGCTGTAGTAAACTGTACGCAGCAGAAGATTCGGCTGTGGTGACAACAGTCAAGTGCACGAAGCTAACCCAGAGTGTGCCATAAACACTGACCATCCACCTGTAATGAACACACTGACACACTGCAGTTTAATGTGTTAATACTGGGCCTACCGGTAAAGTACATGCTGTCCTGTATCGCCAAGTAAAACTCCTGGAAAATGTTGTGGAAAGGTCCTGCAAAATAATTTCTTAAAGAATGAGATGGCTGAAAGTTTATATGACTGAACGCATTTAAACTCTTAATTCATTGAGAGCTAGGCATTATAATCTGTATAGGCTATATGCTATTATAATTGTTTCCCTATAAACTCTCTGGAAATGATTCGTAGGCCTGGACCACTTAAGATTTTTTTTTTTAAATAAAATGAGTAAATGCGACAAGTTGTTTTGAATGATTGGTACGTGCCACTTAAGAGCAAATCTGTTCACGAGTGGTTCTTGCATGAGGCCCATTGAGTCGGGGCTATTAATTGTAACACTTCCTGTGTAAAAGGCTCCACTTCTCTTTCTAGGCCAAATTCCAGTCAGTTCACCATACACTGAGAGTGGAGCGTGGGTTCACTGTACATTTAATTAACTGAAGCTGGATCATGCTGATGTGATTATCAAGAAGCCTTTGGACTCTGTGACAGCAGCCTGCAGACTCTCTCACTATCACACTATCAGTTAGGTTGGGTTATCCAAGCTCATATTTGCTCGCTGCTTTTCTGTTTAAGTGCAGTGGTAAAGTGATACAACTAATCAGTTAACAGCAGGCGTGCACTCTTGTGAAACATACATTAGATTAGATGCACAATCGGAGAGAAAGCGAGCCGATGAGAAATTCCCGATTGACACCAAGTTGCATACAAAGTTGCTTGTTCAAGAGATGTAAAACAAATACAGTAAGCATATTTTCATATAACTTCTATGGACTCTGTTAGTGCTTATACTAAAGGTAGATGGTGCGCTAAACTACCTCAGGCAAAATTTGGAGGATAGAAGTTAAAGGCTAAAAGCTAAGGGTCATCTGGTGGGTAAAGTGAGCCATCGTACAAGCTGGTGCACGCGCGTGTGTGTGAGAGCGCGCGCATGAGCTTTTGAGTGTGTATGTTTATACAGTATGTGTGTTGTGGGGTCCTGTTACACAAGCATTCAGACAGTCATTCGCTATACGATACCTGTGACTGATACCAGGATCGGATGACTATTGAAGTGGAGACACCTTCATTCTTATTTTGAACAGATGTTATTTGCGAGGACACCTAACGGTCACCAGAGCACGTCATAGCTCTGTTAACTGAACTACTGATTACTGTTTATTCAGAAAAGAAGACTGAACAACATATTAGAATATCAATGTTACTGACAAACAACATGCTGTTCTTATTAATCAAGACGTAATGATGTACAAGAGTATCACAGCAAGCTCCTCCACATTAGACAATCATTAGACAATCAACCTTGACTGACCTTTCATGGTTAGTAAGTTAGCTACATTAATTAGTTTGCAAAATTACATCATGTTCTCTTTACAGAAGTAGATTAATGATCAGAGGAACACAGTGTGAGTGCTTTAGATTTTTCTGGAATAGCAAGTAGCTTCCACCTCTTCCCCCTTTCTTTATCTTAGGGGTTGTACTGTTACAGCTGGGTTGAAAGGACTTTTACAATGTGTTCTTTGCTGTTCCACAGGGGTGACCCCAGTCTCGTCAAACTAAATGTAGCCATAACCTGTGGTTACCTCCTTTATGGTAAGCTATTCTTGTTTGTACTTCTGTTGATCATTTCTTCCAGTATGCAGTCCACATGGCAGTCGGCCAATGTATAGTGTTAATGCAGAAGGAAAAAGGACTTTAATCTAAAATAACTTGATTATTGTTAGTAACACTAAGGCCAGGGTTGTCATTAACAGCCTTGTTGGCTATAAAAGACACGTGGCATTCTGCACTTTGATATGGGAATATACAGATGCATTGATCAAAAAAAAACTTTTGAAGTTTTAAATCTACTCTACAAATGTTCTATTTTTAACTTTTGGTATTTGATTCACCACTGGTACAGTTGCTGCTCTTTGAAATAAGTTAATTATAGTTACAAACATCAGTGTTCATTTTAGATTGAATGCTTTTTCAGACAGTGCTGGGCAGTATGACCACAAATTTGTATCATGATATTTTTAAGATTCTGGGTTAACAGTATATCACGTTTTTCTTTTTGTTTTGTTTTGTATGACAGGCCCTTTTATGTTTTCTTGGCCCCATAGTGATGCATTATATGAAGGATTTAGAATGTAAACAATTTTATTGTGCAAACTGCAACGTAGTAAAAACAGAACTTAAAAATAAAAAAGATGCGCTAACAACTTTAATATTATTCCCTTTTCAAACAAGATATTTTAAAAATGATTGTATAAGCACTGTAAACTGACAGTATTTAAGAGATGTTTTGCAAATGTTACACCAGCTGCTTCAGCTATGCACCAGTATGGTGGGAGTTCATGTATGTGTGCAAATGTATTTAATATGTCAAAAGGCACAGTATAAGTCAGAAAATGTGTAACCCTGTATACTTGACTCAGACGGTTTAAGAAGTTGGGTTCTTCCTACAGATGTTTTCTACATTTTCAGGACTGGTGCAGTCGTTGCTCTTTGCCTATTAAAGGCAGTTGTGTACATAACCATCCTGCTAGTCAAACAGACGTATCAATTTTCCATTTTGCTTTCTGACCAACCTGTCCTCCCTGTCCTCTAGACCTTGTGCTGCTTGCATGTAACTGGAGCACTATGGGGGACAGCTTTTTTGTCTGTCACCACTTGGCGGCGCTCTATGCATATGGATATGTGCTGGTGAGTCACTCTTCAAGACGCAGAGTAGACTTTGAATAGCAGTTTGAGACACTGGATTATACCTGTATCACAATGTATTAATGTCATTTTGCTTGTCTGTGTGCTTGTTCCTTGCAGACACGTGGCGTGCTTCCATACTTTGCCAACTTTCGTCTCATTTCAGAGTTGTCCACACCGTTTGTGAACCAAAGGTGAGTCGGCTCTACTTATGAATAATTCCCCCTCTGTTTTACCATATGGCTGACAGTGCTTCCACTCTGACATTTCTTAATCACCCTCCCCCTCCAGGTGGTTCTTTGAGGCATTAAAGTACCCTCGCTCACACCGGCTAGTGGTGTTAAACGGCATTGCGATGGCGGTGGTGTTTTTCCTGGTACGCATTGCCGTCATGCCATCTTACTGGGCCAGTGTATTCGCCACATTTGGCACTCAAGACTTTGAGAGGCTGGGCTTGGGTGCCCAGGTGGCCTGGATCACCTCCTGCATCGCCCTGGATATCTTAAACACGGTCTGGATGTATAAGATCGCCCGCGGCTGCTACAAGGTCATGACCGGGAGGGGAGGACGGAAGGCCAAGGAAGGAGCAAAGGCATCGTCTTCCTCAGATGGGAAGCATGTCAACAACCACACAGACTAAGGAGATGTAGAGCAAAGGATATGTAGACACAGACATAAGCAGGGAGGGAGGCTGGACATTCAGGAACCTCACAGCCTCTCTCTTTAGCTCTAGCCTCAGCGTCCCTCACAGCCCCACCCTTGAATCACCCCAATCTCAGCCCTTGATCTCCTTGTCGGCTAGTGGACCGGGCTAAGAGTCCTCGGGTTCTGACCCCGACACAGGACAAGGACACCGCTCGTTGACTCACTCAAGCACCAGCCTTTGCAGCCTCAGTATTTTCACTGACAGCTCAGCATCCTGCTGGGTGATAGCTTTCGGTCGTAGACCGCAAGGTAGAGCTCGCAAGCACACCTTTTACTCTGTCACTCGCCTCTTCCGTCCCTACCACCATTCCCCTCTCATCTCCCCTGAGTCTCCTCTCATGCTCAACTTCAGCCAAAGCCCAATCCTCTGAAGTGCCTGTGAAAGACAGGAAAGCAATAATTGTGGAGGACTAAAATCTCCAAGTCTAACAGAGCTTAGCCCCTTCAGAAGACAACCCTCTCTTGCTTGCTATTGCTCCCGAACGACTGGAGGCTCCTTCTGTTGTTCATACTCCGTCCACACTCTAGGAGACATGGCCCACAGAGTGACGAACTCTCACATCAGATCCATACAGTGTTTGTGAATCTATAGGGCTCTTGTCTTAAACTCATCAGACCTCACAAAAAGAGACAGAAAAAACACCATAATGCCTCTTCTACAGTATCACCTGCTGTGGCCTCCTTGTAACAAGTGGCGCCTGCCTGTATCACCAGCCATGCCCCTCCAACCCCCTAACAATTTGGATTATATATTTAAAAAAAAAAAACTAGGAATATGCATGCAGGAGAAAGAAACTCTCCAACATCCTTAGCTTCTCACATGACGATTTTGCCTTTTCAGTATTCAATGCGTTTGCATCACTGTGCTGTACTTTGCCCTCTCTATTCTCTTATTTTACAAAACCCAAAGTCGTTAGCAGTTACAGTAACGCGTCTAATTCATATTACATCCATTGCAACCCTCTGCCTCACTGGATACTCCACCATCCAGCTTGAACGTTTGGTTTTGTTCTACCTCTCCCCCTGCCTTACAAAGACGTTGTCAATCCCTTAGTTGTGACATAGTTAACATTTTTGTTTTCTTTCTACTGTAAAGAGTGATTTTAGCCTTTAAGATATTATCTGTCGTGATATCACTGATTCAGAGGAACTTCTTTCTCTCTCTCTCTCTTACCGCCTTTAGAGCTTATCCCAGCCAATGCAGTGAAACAGAGCAGCATCACATTTCTCACCCAACTGTGTCCACTCAGTGTATCTTTCTAGAGAAACTCCCCCGGAGACTTTTATACTTCCATTAATCTCTTTTGGTTCTCAGTGACTCCTTAATGAGGAACGGCGCAGAAAACGTACACACACACACACGAGTGCGAACTTTTTCTGCTCCATTCTTCAAGTTTGCACACGCAAAGCATATCGTGCAAACTATATACACTGTATTTGGTGCCCTTCTAAAACACTGACACGGTGCTCTTCTTTTGCAGATTGTCAGCAATAGGAATGCTAGTAATATGGCATTTTACAAAAGTTTCTAATATCTAATAAATTTGGATGTTCCAGTCTGTGTCAACAATAGGCTGTCACTGTCAAAAGCAATGTGGCAATCTGCATGTTTTTTGTTTTCTGTATAAACTGTATCATCACTATAGAGCATGGTAAGATTGACATATTTCTGTGATGCCTTAGTGAATAGTCAAGGTAGATGATTAACATCTAAATATTAATTGCATTAATCTAATGCTTAAAAGGGGTTTGTCTTCCAAAACAGTTTTTTGCCTTTGAGATAGTGAATGCATGCCTTTTTGATTTTCTCCTCTCCCTGCATGTCTGTACAATATATACAGATACAGTGGTTGTGCAGATACCCTCTGCATACTGTATGGCTAACTGACTAATCATTGCCACATCCTCTGTATGCCAGTCGACATTTCTTGGTTTTACAAACTCATTAATTCCTCTCGTAGTACAGTCTCCTGTTAACAGACGCTAAGAACTACATAGCTGATATCATGACAGACAGAGATACAAGAGGGTGTTTCATGTTTGGCTTTTGTCCCAAAACTAGAAATGAACTAAGGACAAGATCACATGTTTACTCCTGTTTCCTTTTTGCTTAAAAGAGTACTCCACCGATTTAGCATTATACTCCTGTGACATTGTCGCACTAACAAAGGACAATCCATGCATCCAACACAAGCAGATATTTTAGCCAGGTTTTGATCCAAATGTGGTGTAAATTTTAACCAAATTTAAAAGAAATCTGCAAGAAAACTACCATTGTGCAGATATTTGGAATTGGTATATTACAGCTTTTTGCAATACTTTGAGGTTTGTTTGGGCTTTCTGTTGTTTTAAGTTTTCGATCAGTTTTTTTAATCCGCATTTTCAATTTGTGCATAACAGCTGGATGGAAACATACATACCTTTTTAATTCCACAACGGTGTGTTAGGCTAGTAGCAGCTAATGTGCAAATATGAGGAGCTGCTACACACACCCGGATCTTTTTTTATTTTCAAACTTGTAGTTTTTCAGCCCCACCTGATGCGGACTCAAGTGACATCACTTGAGGAAAATTATCATCCACAAAAAGCTTTATATAACTTTTTTCCTGTCCTTTTTCTTCCCAAGATGTGTAAACAGACTTTGATGACTGAAATCGGTGGAGTTGCCCTTTAAGTCTTTATAGCTAGTTATGATCTGGTCTGAGAATGTCTGGTGGTGTTTTCACTGTGGAACTATAAAGCACACTCCCTGTGGAGCAATAACTCAGCGATCTCCTGTATTTCTGTCTGTCACCACAGAGGAGGGGCTACAGTATCTTGTGCCTTTACACAAATGGTGGATGTGATGCAGCCAGATTTGGATTAGCATGACCTTTCTAGTGTAATATCCAGTGATTATCTCCTGTGTATTCCATATGTATACTCTATGTATATATTTTTATAATCTGCCTGCACAATGATTAATCCGGCCAAGTATTATAATCCAAAGCTGATCCCTTTCGAGGAGCCTGTTTTGTGGTGATTTGTGCTCTCCTGAATACAGGGGTATGTCTCTATGAATGTTGTGATGAGTTATTTAGTGGCATTAAGATGAGCTCACAGTGTCCAAGGTGATGAGAATGAAAATCAATCTATATTTTTTGACATAAGCTCTTCAAGATATACAGGTAGTTGATGGTAAGGCTAACATCTCATTTCCTTGGCCTCCTAAACTCAAAGCTGTGAATAGTTGTGGAATAAAACTGTAATACCGTTCAGTCACGACACTAGAATGATTAGACTACAGTGTGGGAGACTTCCTAAAAACTGGCTGAGCAGTGATGCCAATACACTTGTTGTAGCAGCACCCTGTGCTTCTGGTTGAGTTTAGACTGAGACTACTCTCTGATGTAGGTCTCGTGCACAAAATAAAAAACTACATATATAACAATGACAGTATGTTGCCTGGTTGTCTATGGACAGTTTTTTGTTTTTTGTATTTGTAAGGGTTTTCTACAGAATATATTTCAAGACCTGATATTTGCTGTATCTCACACCCTGTGGCTGTTTGAAAACCGACAGAATGAATTAAAGATTGAGTTTGAGGCTGCTATTGTAAGGCCATGATCTGTATTGTATCAGGTTAGAACAACCATATTGCCTTTGTTTCTTTGGGGAGGCCAATGTTCATTATGTTATATAATGAATCTATTTAAATAAATATAAAGGTATGTACAAATCTGTATATATCTGTGATCGAGTCTTGAAACCAGATGCACACTGTACTAAACTCTGTTTTGGTCCTTTTTTGTTTCATTTGGATGACAGTATGTCATCTTCTGTACATTATAACAAAGCTGTAAGAATCTGGTTTTTCAACAGTGTATTCTGCCAGTCTTCTCAAGGTTACATGTGGTACTTAGGCAACTAGTATTTTTGCCCCCTTTTTGTTCTGAAATACTTGATTTCAAGTTAAATCCTAGGTGTACGATGAAAAAGAATGAACTGAATTTCACAAGGATGACAACATTTCTATATGTTTAAGAATGACTGGAAAAATTGCAGACAAACTGATAATCAAAAACTTGCCAGTTTTTTTTTTTCTTTTGAATGACTTGCCAGTGTGGCTTATGTTCCTTCTCTTTTTTTTGTCTATTTTTATTTTGTCTTTTAATGCAATTTCTTGTTCTGATCTGTCTTTGTTTTCTGGAGATTTTAATGTGAAACAGCTTACACTACACACAGGCCTTAGGGTCCTTATCTGAGCATTACCTTGTGACTCGGATTGTTGTCGTCTACAATGACCACTACTAATGATCATGTAACTGTAGTGCTGAAAGCTGAGACTTACTTGAAAGTTGCTCTTCAATAAAGTTGAAGACAAGAGAAACTTGGTGCTTGACTCTTTGATTTTGACTTAAAGTTAAAGATCCCCTTTAGACATGTATTAAATTAATTAAATTAAACTAAATAAGATAGATAAGACAGATCACGAACTACGATACGATAGATAGTAGATGATACGATACGATAGATAGATAGATAGCATAGATAGATTCAGATAGATACGATAGATCAGATAGATAGACAAAAATTCCACATTCAAGATCCTTTATAAAGGCATCATGCCATTCTACTTGATTGACAACCGCATCCAGAATCAATATGCAAATTGTGTTACATTTCTAAACTACTCGTCTCACCCTAATGCGAACTAGCAACTGTCTTCCAGTAAGCGCAAAACAGCCATTGAAATCATTTCACACCCATTACGCACAGTTACAGATTTTATATAGCTGGTGCTCTTACGACCTGTCAGTTGGTACTCACCTTGAAGTGGCTAAGGTTCATTTAATTTCCTTAATACCACTTTTTTTAGAAGCGAGTGTATCTTATTGTGATCATTCATAATACAAGCTTATTATCATGGATTATTCTATAAATGCTGTGAAAACATTTACTTAACGATATAATAAACTTAAGGGTGTCAAAAAGGTTGCTTTAATGCACGGCATTCCCTGTGTTCAGCTGAAGTCTTCAAACATCCCAACATTCTTATTGGACAAACCTTATAGCCTTTTTTATTTTGCACTATTTGTCAGTTTCCTTCGGTTTCTAAACAGTGATGTCAGCATGGGAATGACTGCTATCATTCAGTGTAAAGCATCCAGACACGCAGCCATCTGGCGACTGGGCAGTCATTCGTCAACCCTTTAGAATGTGACTCTACCCAGGCAAGCCAAAGACCAGCTACTGGTCCGGGTCTTTTGCTTTTAAATTGTCGTGTAAATGATCCGAGCTGTTCATCAAAAGGAACATGTAAAGCACAGACCTGAGAACCATCTCAAACACTGAGATGACCTGTGTACAACAAGAACAAGACGGATGTGTCCTGAAATAGGGATAGAAAGAGGAGCATGAACAAAGTGAAAAGATTTCTGGTGGGGGGGGTGGGGGGTCGGGGGCTTGAGCATAGTATGTCTGACTTGCGAAACCATCTTGTGGTGTGTGTGTGTGTGCTGTGTGTGTGTGTTGTGGTGTGTTGTGTTGTGTGTGGTGCTGTGTGTGTTG